TAGGCTGCGCTCTGTCTATGGAGTGTGTGTATCTCTCTAAACAAACTTGCTTTCACTTTGCCTTGTTCTTGAATTCTTTCCTGCACGAGGCAAGAACTGTTCTCCGACAACAAGGGTACTATTTAAATGCCACAGGAGAGTGGGGGCTTTTGCTGTGTCCTCAGCAAGTGTAACAGTGTCTGATACTTAAATAGGGGCTCAAGAATTTTTTGCATAAATGACCACCTGGGCACTCTGAAAGATGAAAAGAGATATCATTCTTCTTAAAAGTAGCCATTATGAGGAACCTCCTTTTTCTTGCCTCTGATTCTCCAGTCTCCCCTCCACCTTCACTCTAAGGAAGCTAGAAAAGAGTAACAAGGAAGCATCAACCCTCCAACCCTCTGGCCTCAAAGCTGCAGCGTAACAAGCCCCGGAGGACAGGAGTGCCCAGTGTCCCCCACGGTGCTGCTGTCCAATGTCCTGACCCCTCTTTGCACAGCTGTGCAAAGCAAAGGAAGGGCCGGTGTGGGGAAGGGAGAGAGAGCAGCTGCTGTTGGATACCCACAGCAACTGAAAGTGAGTTACAGGAGTCATCAGCAGTATCGTAGCAGTACCTTTCTTCCGGAAAGCTGTTTGTCCACGCCCCGCCCTCAAGCTCACCTTGGACGGTCTTCAGGGAGAAGCCATAGCTAGTCCCCTCCTTCACCAGGTAGCAGAGCCGTGGCTCGGCCCAAGCCGGTGCTCCTCCATTCATCACGGACGGCGGCTTCTTATCACTCAAACTCGACTCCTGACTTTGACTCAACTCTTTCAAGTCCACTTGTTGTTTCACGGCTTTTTCATAGGAATCTCCATCCAGAACTAGTAAAGTCACTGAATTTCCACTCCTTCTGACCAGATCCACAACCTAGGATGAAGAAAGGAAAAGATAACTTTAACCAATAACCCTCTACCAACCGCCAGGGTGGGGGTGGGAGGGGGCGCAGGGCTCACCATCCGGCTCATTATCTGGCTCTGGAGGTCCCACTGGCGGATCCCTGACATCCAGTGAGCAGACAGTGCGCAGCCATCTCCAGCCGGCCCCTCCCGAGACCCAGGCACAGCTCAGGCTGGGCCTCCGTTGGAATCTAGACTGCAGCCCAGCCCCACCCAGGGGACTCTTGCTAGGACTGCTCCTTTCTAGGGAAGCACGCTGCCCCTGAACACAGCGGATCCTCCTGGGTGAAGAGAGCGCCTCCCTGGAGGCAGGCAGAACTGCGGCCAGGTCAGACCCTCCGTACGTTCGCTGCATGAACACCTTAGCTAAGTTACCTGAGCCTGCACCCCCTCATCTGTGTGATAGGAATACGTACCTCATAGGTTATGATGAGGATTTCACAAAACAGTGAATGTGAAATTGCCTAGCGTAGTTCATGTAGCAAACATGCACTGCATATTAGACCTGACACTGTTCAAATCCAGGGATAATTTTTACAGTTCTTGGTTAATTGTAGGAGACTTGATCAGCCAGCAGAGAGTATACCCATAAAGGTGTCCTGTCTTGCCAGTGGCAGCCAGGAAAGCTCCACTTACCCCGAAAACTATTATCAGCAGAGATACGGGGACTGAAGAGACCCTAGAAGCAGCCCAAATGCCCCGTTTACCTGCATGTGCTCCTCCTTGTCCACAAAGACACCATTGATCCTGAGAACCCTGTCTCCGTCCTGGAGGCCCGCCTTCTCTGCTGGGCTGCCTTTCTCAATCACCCGGACCAGGTGGCCGTCGGTGTCCCTCTCAATTCGCAGGAAGAAGCCATAGGTTTGCCCTTCCTGTTTAGACAGTTTACATTCTCGGGGGTTGAAGGTGGAGGCCATTTCTGTGATGAAAAACAGATGCGTCAATCCATGGGAAAGAAAATCTAATTGAGGTGAGAAATCTGTCCTCATCTCCTACAGCTCTGTTCTTCTAATCGCACCAAATCTAGACTGTTTGGGTAGCAACAGTGAGGGTACAGGAGGCCACCTTCTAGGACTTGCTAACAATTTCCAAATTTAGTTCCCCCAAAGATGACCTTTCACTTGAGTTTCAGACCCATGTGTTTGGCTGGGTACTGAACATAGTTGCTTCAATTTCAGTAGCTCCAAAACCAAATTCCTCTCTGTCCTCTGACCAAAAGAAACTGGTTCCAAATACATTACCTGGAAATTTAAAAAAAAATCCAAGTCCACTTTCATTTAAATATTTGAAGAGCTTGCCAAGTTCTCGGTACTGAAGATAAATCTGTGGACAAGAGAGACCTATACTTTGCCTCTCATATCAGGGAAACATAGGTTCACAGTAACACGTGGTGGACGACCTGCTAGGGGGGAAACCCGAGTGACAAGGGAGAACACAGCAAAGGGTCTCAGGAGTGGGGATGGGGCTGGGAAGAATTAAGAACGGCTTCCTGGAGAAATGACTTTTCTAAGACCTGAACAATTAGCAGGAGTGGTCAGGTAGGACAAGATAAGGAAGACATCAAAGAATTAAAAATCAGAGGAGCCAGGCCTCAGAGCTGACCTGATGCACTAGAAGTGAGACAGAGAAGTCAGAGCCAAGCAGAGATGCCCCGTAGAGAGAGAGTTCCCACAGCCAGGTCAGGTCTCTCCCTACTGAAGCCCCTTCCACTTCCAAACGTGCTGCCCCTCCTTTGCCCCATCGCAGGAGCCGGGTCCTGGGCCATGGAGGAGGAAAGGCAAAGTCTGAAAACCAACAGCTTGGGGCCCCGGCACCCAAGTTATTAAAGCCAAGATTCCTGCCAGGGGTCCCCAGCCCTTCCTGTCTTAAGCTATTATTTTCATAGGGGATTGAGAATGGAGGCCAGGACGGCTGACGTGAGGGGAGGCCTGAGAGCAGAAGGCTAGACTCTGCTGATTCAGCTGCCTGCAGGGCAAATCCTTGTCTTCCCCTCCAGTACCTCCTCTGTCTCTCCTGGAGGGACAGGAGCAGACGACCATACAGGGTCCAGGGTGGAAGGTGGAGGGGAGACGACAAAGTGCTCCGGGCTCCCTCGAAGCCACGCCATGGTGACTGGAGATAGCCATCTCTGACCTCCACACCCACAGAGACGGGCAGTACAAACCAGGCAGACAGCCTCCCACGCCCCACTCGCTTGCCTGTTTCACAAGTCTCAGCCAAGTCTGGCAGCCAGGCCACCAGGGACACGAATGACTAATCAGCCAAGGAAAGAAGAAACAAAGACAATGTTTCAAGTGATCTCTCACCAGGGCCCAAGGCCTGAGCCCACGCTCCTGAGGATCCAGGGAAGAGAAAAGTGAAGCCACGATCCCATGGTCAGTGCCCACACCTGGGAGACCGTAGCAGCTCCGCCACATCATGACCTAACGGCAGGAAGACGCTGCTTTGGGAGGAGAGGGGGCGAGTCAGGGGAGAAGAGGGCAGGACCAGAGTGGGGCTTCCCCACGGGCAGGCGCCACGGCGTGACCCCTCGGACTCTGATCTTTTCCTTCTCTTTCTGCTGATTCCCTAGGCTGTAAGCGTCAATTCCACCCCAGCTTGAATCCTCATCTATGTCCACACTTACTCCTAGATCCCTAACAGCTCTCAATTTCATGGGCCTGCAAAGCCTTGAAGGGGGAAAAAAAAGCCCTCTGACCTCATCCAAATCCTACAGAATTCAAAACATGTCCTTATAATCAAAATAAAGGCCCTCAGATGCTATGTTTTCATCAAGAGGTGAGGCTGTTTGTGATCAGCGTATGAATGCTCTTTTCTAAGGAACCCCCCCAACAGCCAGCAATCTCCCGCTCTCTGGTGCCAGCCACGGGGATCTCCTTTTTCTCAAGGGTGTAACGTGAAACCTCCCTGCTAGTAAGACGGTCCAGTGTCTGGGGAGAGAAGAGGCGAAGATTCCCCCTGTCTCAGTAGAGACGTGAAAACCTGATATAAAGAAAACACAAGCCACCATTTCTGGGCAAAACCTCAAGTTGTCTTTTTACTTCTTTAAGAATCCCAGCGGGACAACATAACGCCATTTGCAGCAACATGGATGCTCCTAGAGAATGTCATTCTAAGTGAAGTAAGCCAGAAAGAGAAAGAAAAATACCATATGAGATCGCTCATATGTGGAATCTAAAA